CAAACAAACAATACGTAAGTTACTACCTACTAAAGGAGCTGAATCGAAACTTCACAAAAACATTTAAATTATGTACGTACCTTATTAATAAGTTCAAAGGAAATACAAACAAGTATGCAAAGTTTAATATCTAAATCTTCAAGAGTGTTTAAATCCAATGCTGTCTCTACATTTAATAAGCTCGTTATGAACAGTAAGTAATTCTAAATAAACCAGTTCAAGTTTCTGTTTCGTTTCACGAGATTAATAATTATACGTGTCTGTTTTCATATTGGTTCCTTCTTTTTTTCTCTTACACCACTAACTTAACTCAGACAACGTCAGTTAATACAAATTAACGTTCAAGTATTGGTTGTTTAAGAGATCTTGGAAAGAGATGTTTATGCATGTAATTCTTTGTATCGGTTGGTATTACGATATATATTTTATCTCTAAAAGAATTCGTATGCTCGACTGCCTTATATCGAGATATAACTGTGAAATGGCACGTTTATTTATTTGTATATTTTCAAAGACGCAGAGAAGCCGGGTGTCAATTTCCGCCTCGTTCCAGAGAGACTCGAGATATCAACATACATATTAAACAACAATCTTATTGATAGGGCAGTAATGCCTCTTGAAGCGTGTGTAATCACAAACTCGTGAACGTAATACCGAGAATACTGTGTTCACGTTTTTGATTTACTACTTGAATCATGGGTGATTTTTTTAACTTTAACGTCTGAATTGTCTATATTTTAGAACATCTTATTACGTATCAACTAATCAGGGAAACTGACGTACTAACAAATCCGTCTCAGCCAAGGTTTGTTCGGAGTAACAAGGTGTTCCGTTCTTGGACGATGGATTGTCTGTCTGTTGTTAAGCGCAAAGCTACACAGTGGACTATCTGTGCTGTGCCCACAGCAGGTATCAAAATCCGGATTCTTAGCTTTATAAGCCTTTATGCTTACCGCCGAGCCACTGGCGTGGGAGGGGGAGATATGTAAAGTTGGTTTCATGTTGACTGTTTGTTGGTTATTAAGCACAATGAGCTATCTGTGCTTTGCCCACCGCGGGTATCAAAATCCGGATTCTTAGCTTTATAAGCCTTTATGCTTACCGCCGAGCCACTGGCGTGGGAGGGGGAGATATGTAAAGTTGGTTTCATGTTGACTGTTTGTTGGATATTAAGCACAATGAGCTATCTGTGCTAGGCCCACCGCGGGTATCGAAACTCGATTTTTAACGTTATACACCCTCAGAGTGTTTGATATAGTCATAAGTCTTGTAAATGTTAACTATAAAGGAATGTTAATGTTTGATAATATCGGTCGTTAAAGAAAAACTTATCATCATGAAGAAGAAGATTTTCACTTGGTCAATGTCATCACGAAGAAGATTTTCACTTGGTCAATGTCATCACTGTTTATTGGACCAGTTGGATATTTTCCTGTAAAACAAGGATGAGTTCAAGAGACGGTATTGAGTTTTCTTTATTTGTTTTTTGAATTTCGCGCAAAGCTACACAAGGGCTATCTGCGCTAGCCGTCCCTAATTTAGCAGTGTAAGACTAGAGGGAAGGTAGCTAGTCATTACCACCCACTGCCAACTCTTGAGCTACTTTTTTTACCAACGAATAGTGGGATTGACCGTCACATTATAACGCCCCCACGACTGAAAGGGCAAGCATGTTTGGTGGGACGGGGATTCGAACCCGCGACCCTCAGATTGCGAGTCGAGCGCCCCAACCATCCTAGCCATGCCGGGCCGGGTAGTGAGTGATGTTAAATCTGATAAAACACATGTTCATTTGAAAGGCTACATTAAAGGCATGTTACTTATTTATAAACATCAAGCCACGTGTTTCTTACCTTTCAAAGATTCCATTGTAGAAGTTAACACTTTTCTGTAGATCAGAATTAAGAGCATGTGTCAGTTCATTCAGACCAATCAGAATATTTTCCTCCGTCTGATGAGGAGAAAAACAAGTAAATTATTATCTTCCTGTAATATATTCTCATAATATTGATGCTGACCAAACAATGTCAATATTTAATGAACGCCAAGCTAACAAATCGTAAAAAAATGGTTAAACAAAAACTTTACTTTATGGTCTATGTTCTTATATAGATTAAGTAGTATTCTAAAGTTAACTGAAAGAAAAGGTTTAATGATGAAAGCTGAAATTATATTCAAACACCAGGCTCTGCGACAGACAAATTGGGGGAAACCAATAATGTAGGGGGTTTTATTCTCCATGTAAATTCTAGACAGTTTAGTTTGCTATATGATCATTAGCCGGACCAAGTGATACGTCCACTTTCATCCCTATCTTGTTTGGTTCCTCTTTTTTTTCCAAGTTCAGTAGCCAGCCCTACATAGCTTTTTTTATTTATGGATAATCCCCCCCCCTGTAACTTGTTATCTAATCAAATGGTGGTACTTGACCATCACTCTGAAAGTGTAAAGCCCATTTTGTGGCAACAGGACGCAAACCAGGAACCTATAGATTTACGGACTGGGCATGTTAATTCCTAGACCACGCCTGGTCCTCATTGAAACGTATACAGCAAGATGTATGAGAAATTATCAAAATAATTCCACAACATTTAACACATTAAATTTCAATCCATCACGTAAGATATATTCTATCAGTTCGTTTACACATTTTTTAGATCAAAGGTTGTGTGCAGTGAAAATGGCCGCCATCAAGAAAATCTGCCCGAGAAAATCACCGACGATTCATTACAATCCTAGGTGCCCCAGTGGTCATAGTTTCAAGTTAAGACTGACTGTTCTAGAGAGCATAGCACAGAATTGGAAACCGTTAACAAAAATCACAGCGTATTACTTTTGCCCCTCGCTTAGAAGAACCCCACTTTGAAAGTTCATGATGACTAGGAATCCATTTTAAGTACGTTTTATGGTATTAGGACTTTTATTTAAAACACAGAACAATTAACAACGTTTTGACCTTCTCATGGTCATCATCGGGTTAAGAAATGTCTTCGTCTTAACCTTCGTCGAAACGTTGTTACTTTTTTTGTGTTTTATATATATTTATTCGAAAACAGATACGTAGGTATTACAAGCTTATACTATTTATTTATTCAATAAAGTCATTATTACTACTCTGACCGAAAGTAAGCTGACTACAGATCAGGACTAACAAGTAACTTATAAGGGAACCAATCATGTATAAGAAAAACTAACAAATAACTTATAGAGGAACCAATCGTGTACAAGAAAAGTAACAAGTAACTTGTAGGGGAACCAATCATAACTTATAGAGGAACCAATCGTGTACAAGAAAAGTAACAAGTTTGTAAGGGAACCAATCATGTATAAGAAAAACTAACAAATAACTTATAGAGGGGGAACCAATCATGTATAAGAAATTATTGACACAAACAGGGATTAAATTTTTTTAAGATCTAAATATTTAAATTGGTTTCAATTATTTCTAGTTTTAATGTATTTTTTTTTCTAAACTTCTAGAAAAGTATTACTACAACTGAAAGAAAACTACACGAAAGAAAGAATACAAAGAAACTTAGCTATTTTGTAATTTAATTTATATAAAACTAATTAAAATATTTAATTGTTTAAATAACTCTTCACTAGAGAGATCAGATACTTACTGGAACTTGTGGTAGAGTAAACGCATCGGTGTTTTTGAACCATTCTAATGTTCCTCTCTGAGAAAAAAAATAAAACGGATAAATTTACTTAAGATAACGAAAGATGAAAAACGTTCTCTATCAATTAACTTTGTGCATGAAAAGATATTTTGGAAACAAATAATTTCGTTGCTACGAGATTGCGTTAATTTAGTTTCACGGAATATGTGAACTCGAAATATTTCACAAGTTAAAAACAATTAAAGTACCACACAGTGTGAAACAGTGAAAATTAAACAGCGTGAAACCATTGAGTATAAAAAATACAAATCCGTTAAGTTTTTTGTTTAATAAAAAGATGATTATTTATTTTTTGATTTGGCCCGGAAGTAATTTCATGGCTTTCTGATAGTTTTAGTAATATGACAGAAACTTCACCGAGTAATGCGGAAATAGCGAGATTTTGCTCAAAATTAAATGTTAACAATGCTGACGTCTTGTCAAAAATTAAATGTTAACAATGCTGACGTCTTGTCAAAAATTAAATGTTAACAATGCTGACGTCTTGTCAAAAATTAAATGTTAACAATGCTGACGTCTTGTCAAAAATTAAATGTTAACAATGCTGACGTCTTGTCAACAATTAAATGTTAACAATGCTGACGTCTTGTCAAAAATTAAATGTTAACAATGCTGACATATTGTTAAAAATGAAATGCTAACAATAATGATATTTTTTTTCAAAATGAAATGCAATCAAGTTCGTTTTAAGCCTTCATCCAGTAACTAATTTCATACAACGATCACATCACCAACTTTGTAGCCATGTTTGTAAGGGTTAGTGAGAGGCGAAACTGGAAACTTCCAGACGTATTACAGAATTATATTTTGTTCATAAAGAGCAGAAACTTATAAACTCAAGTAAACACACGCTTGTATGACGAACGAGTATAAAAGGAACATAATGAACTTACCTTAATTGTGTTTGTTATTTCCACGTGAAGATTGTGACGAAAAGGGCAACATTGCTTAAAAACTTTCATATTGTGGATCAAAGCAAGACATCTGCAAATAACAAAGAAAATCAGAGCATCACAATTAATGTAATTAAAATATCAATTATCACTCTTGAATCTGTAAGTTAGTTTGTGTTCTTAACACCGATAAGTAAGTTAATCCGTGTTTATTCACTTGAATCTGTAAGTTAGTTTGTATTCTTAACATCGATAAGTAAGTTAATCCGTGTTTATTCACTTGAATCAATAATTCAGTTTGTCTAAACACCTGATTCGGTGTTCCTTTCATGTTTTATGTGAAGTTTAGTTTGTATGTTTATTTGGATCGATAAGTTAGTTTTGGTGTTTATACTTGTTGAGTCAATAAAAAAAAAGTTTTTGTGTTTATAATTTGATCAATAAACCAGTTTTTGTATTCACAATTTATTGATAAATCAGTTTTCGTGTTTATAAATTGATCAATAAACCAGTTTTTGTGTTTATATTTGTTGGGTCAATAAAAAAAATTGTGTTTATAATTTGATCAATAAACCAGTTTTTGTATTCACAATTTATTGATAAATCAGTTTTCGTGTTTATAAATTGATCAATAAACCAGTTTTTGTGTTTATATTTGGATCGATAAATTTGATTCCGTGTTTATATCTGGATCATTAAATAAATGTTTATGTATATATATTTCAGTCATATAAGTTAGTTTTTGTGTTCGTTTATCACGGATAATAAAACTGAGTTCTCGCTTATAAGAGAAGAGAGTAAAAAAAGATTGAATACTCACTTGAGCAGGTAAACCAGTTTGTGCTGACCTTGCTGGTTTCCTGGCGGGAACAGATCCCGACATTTACGGACTTGAGCCAGCAAATAATCAATAAAAACGTTGAAAGATTCAGCTAAGGCTGCTTCCTGGAGAAATATTGATTGACAATAACTAAATGTAGCAACAGGCTACTCAGAACAGCTAAAATATTTCCATAATAAATCAATATTTTATCAACCAATCAAAACTGGTGTTACTCTTATCTTAATATGTCTCGGGTTGACGTTGCTTGGTCATGTTTATCAGTTGAAATCATTTATTATTGGTCATGTTTATCAGTTGAAATATTTATTATTGGTCATGTTTATCAGTTGAAATATTTTATTATTGGTCATGTTTATCAGTTGAAATCATTTAGTCTTGATCATGTTTATCAGTTGAAATATTTTATTATTGGTCATGTTTATCAGTTGAAATCATTTAGTCTTGATCATGTTTATCAGTTGAAATCATTTAGTCTTGGTCATGTTTATCAGTTGAAATCATTTAGTCTTGGTCATGTTTATCAGTTGAAATCATTTAGTCTTGGTCATGTTTATCAGTTGAAATCATTTA